CCGCGGCGCGCCTCCCCCACCGCGGCCCCTTTCTCAGGACAAGGTCCTGATTCCACTCGCCTTTACCGAACGCCCAAGATAAATTCGGTATCTCACTAACGAATGAATGGTTTTGTCCCTTCTTGTGGCAGAGCATTATAGGGAGAACGAAACGAAACCCGAGGAGGAAGCGGCATCTGAGAACGTCAGAGGTACCATCAGCTATGAAGTATAGTATGAGTCGAAGCATCACAAAGTAAACTCGCCCGAGCTAGCTAGACCTAAGAACAATAATGAGACACAACTCCGAACACCGACCCTGAAGAACCGAAACATACAGTACCCTTTACCCAAGTCCAATCAATAACTGGCTCCTGCGTCACACAACAGCCGCATGGGTATAGAAGACATGTGCAACCCAGCCCGCAGATCCAAACATGTGCAAGCCCGTTAACCCCTTGCAACACCCAAACATCAGTCTTCCTCCATCTTCTCCGTCTGCTCCTCTTCAGGAACAGGAACAGCATTCTCATCACCTCCCTCCTCCCCCGTATTCTTCTTCTTGACCACCAAATCCGTCTTCATCTCCTCCTTTCCGTCCTCCTCCGTCACGACCTTTCCCACAACAGCCTCAACCTCCTTCAACCCCTCCTCATCAAAGATCTCTCCTCCTTCAAACTCATCCTCTTCCTCCTCTTTTTCCCCATCCTTTCCCTCCTTCTCCCCATTACTATTTCCCTCCACATCAGCAAATATCGACTTCCCTTCCACCAAACTCCAATCCACCCTTCCTTCCTTTCCATACCTTTGTTCCAACCACTCGTTTCCCTTCTTAAAATGCCCCGCGTCAAAGAAACCCCTATGCGCACTCAACGGACTAGGATGCACACTCCTCAACACCAAATGTCTTTTCCCATCCACTTTCGCCATCCTCTTCCCCGCCGGCGCTCCCCACGCCATGAACACCACCCCCTTTTTTTGTCGCTCATTCACCAAGTCGATTACTTTCTGGGTGAACCGTTCCCAGCCGCGGTTCGCATGGGAATTGGCTTCGTGTGCGCGAACTGTGAGGCATGTGTTGAGGAGTAAGACGCCGCGGGTTGCCCAGGGGGTTAAGAGGCCGGATTTGCCAGGGGGCGGGATAAAAGAAGGGTAGTCTCGTGAGAGGCCGATGAAGATGTTCCGCAGGGAGGGCGGGGCGGGAGTCGGAGGCCGCACGGAGAAGGAGAGGCCGTGGGCTTGGTTGTGGTTGTGGTAGGGGTCTTGGCCGAGGATGAGGACGCGGACGGTGGGGAGGGGGGTGTGTCGGGACCTGTGTGGTTTTTTTCGTTAGTGGAGGGGGAAAAAAAAGAAGGGAAAAAGGGGGGGAAATAAAAGGGGGAGAAGAAAGGGAAAAAGTAAAGAAAAAAGGAAGAAAGGGGAAAAAAGGGGGAAAAAATGGGGGGGAAGGGAAGGGAAAAAGTGGTGGGAAAAAGGAAAAAGAGAGGGAAGAAAACTAACCAGCTATAAATATCTTCCTTGGGCGGGAATATCGTCTTGGTCTCCCATTCATTCTTCAAGAACCTTTTCAAGTCCAAAAACTCCTTGGTCACAATCTCCTCCTTCAGATGCGCCAACCAGCTCTCGTCGAGGGTGTCGATCTCCAGCTGTAAAAGGTCGCGTTGTTCGGGCGTCAGAGAAGCTACCCATTTCTCCTTGTTGAACTTTTTGGTTACGGTGACGGGGTCGGGGGTAGCGGTAGTAGTAGCGCTACTGTTGCTGTTGCTGAGCTGACTTTGACTGCGGCTGGTCGATCGGGTGGTTGTGGTTGTGGTTGTTGGAGAGGAGGAATTAAGAGGGCCGCCGGGCTTGGGAACACCAAAGAAGGACATGATATTGCCGTTTTGTTTGGGCTTTTTGGCGTCGGAGGAGGGGCCGGGCTGGGAGGAGCCGGCTTTGCGTTTGAGGGAGGACATTGTTCTGGGTGTGAGAGGAGATGGTGGTTTGTGGGTGAGGTTGAGGTGATGGAAAAGAGTCGAAGGGCGGTGACTTTCAGGATGGCCCAATAATGCTGTGAGGTTCCTTGAAGCCGTGGTTGTTGATGACCTTGAGGGTGAGAACTTGTTGATCAAGTGGAAAGAGACGTTGTCTTTACGTTGGCGGAATGAAGTCGAGAGTCCAATCTGAGATTTTCTCGAGTAGAAAATGTCTTTCAGATTCGGGCACTCTTCAATGGGATAATAATAGCTGGGGGGGAAAAAGCACAGTTCCTTCCTCTGTTTGCTTTTCTTACAAATGTTATCAACCACCTCGCCCAATTGAAAGTGACGGAACAACGCTAAAAAAGCAAAAGCGCGTCTTCACTCTCCAGCCCTGCAAGGTTCTCTCTTCTCCAACGACGACGCGACTTTTGGCGTCATTGTTCATTCAATTAAGACTCTAGTCTGCGTCTAGTCGGCCCCACCGATGCCGCCGTTGAAAGCGGATCCCGTCCCGCCGCTCCGCATTGGACCTGGCGGGCCCCGCCCGAGGGGATTCCATTAGCGCAAGTGGAGGTGCTGGAGTCAACTGGAGCCGCCGAAATCGGGCACTTGTGCCGGCTGAGTGGTGTGGAGACGGGGGACCTTGCTGGCCTGCATCTTCTCTTCTTGCTTGTAACATCGTCTGAAGTTGCTTCTCTTGTTGAGGAGTTACTTTTTGCAAAGTACAATCCAACCCGCTTCTACAAGTACACAAAGTAGTTGGAACTAAAGCAAGCTTCATTCTAGAATGCTGCGCCGAACATTTATTTACTCGGCGGAGTTTGGTACTACGACATTACATCCGGCCCCGGGTTTTACGGAAGAGGTGGAGGCCGCTGACTGGATCATCCCGTCGCATCTTCCGTCCAACGCTCATCTGGATGCCGAACTCGCCGAGGTAGGGTCGCACAAGATTCACCTATTTGAATGCTGCACCGCCAGATGAGGCGCTGGGCAATGTTCTTTGGGGGCTTAAATTTCCGATATCGAGACTCATGTCGAATGGGCTAAAACTGAAGCTTATGAAGTCATCACAGTGATAGATCTATTTATCTGCATAGTCAACTTTCGTCATGCCTTGTTGGGGTTCACCAAGGGGTAGATGTGTGGACATGAATAAAATAGAGAAAACGAAGATTAATGAAAAGGAAAAAGGGTAAGTGAATGGGAAAAGAAGAAGGGCATGAAGAAAACAGTACGTGCAAATCAACACTCTGATTATTGGGATTGACTTGATCTGTGAGAGAAACTGAAGACGCAGAACAGACTGAAGAATCACCAGTCTCCCTCTACTTACCTTCCACTCCCAGGCAACTCAGCGTTGTACCACAAACTCGTACACAACGCACGTCATCTCAGCTAGGTAAAGGAGGGACGACTAAGTTGCACAAGGAGCGGGTATCACTTTGCGTTGATGTTTTGGGATGAATGAACATGATTAAACCGGGGTCTCCGAAATCTTCGTCATCAGTTAAGGACCAGAGTTGTTGACCAGCAAGCAAATACGGTTGAATTGAGGCGACTTAGAAATTATGGGAGCGTTTGCAGGAAATCCGTATATGGGTCGTCACTTTGGACCTGGGTCGACAAATCTTTGCTGGACAGTTGCATCGGTAGATTGATGCTCTACGGATTAAAGTTTGACTAAAAATTACACGATTACGACGCTTCATATCATATTCGTCATTTATGCTCATATCCATCTAGTTTGTGGTCAGCTAGTCGCGCAAAGCCATTATGGTTTTGTAACGTTGAGGAGCGACCATGTGTAGCGTGTGTTTGCAAGGTGCTGAATACCCAAGTGAGTTTAAGCTATCGCTGCCTTTTGAGCTCGACTACTTTTTCTTCACAGCTCAGTTTTCAGACCTCTGTTCCATTTAAATACGCTCACCTGTGCACAGTCGTTGTTGACATGTCTGGGTTGTGGTTTGGTGTTAGAAGGCGCTTTAACAATTGATCGCCGGTTCATTACCCAGCCAGTCCTTTGATCATATTGTGAATGGAATATTCTTGCGACAGACCCATGGCTCAACGGTGTCACGATCAACAACGCATATGGGTAAGGACAAGGTACACAACTAGGACGCCTCGGTTATTAGGCCGTAGATCCTCTGAGCTCAGGAACGAGTGGAGTTTCCATCCTCCAAGTGGTAAGTCACCCGGCTAGTCCTGGTGTTTGATTGGCCAGCGTTTTCTTTTTTCCTTTGGAACTCATTGAAATCCCGGACGGAGAAGCGTTGAAGTCAAAGAAATTGCAAAAGCATAGCGAGGAAAGAGGAATGTGTGGTGGAGTAGGAAGATGGCACTGAATGCCTTGGACAGTCAATAATGTGTTTCAGTAAACGCAGAGATAATTAATTACCAGCGGAGTGGTTCCGAACGGACACCAGGATCGTCGGGAGAAAAGTGGAAGTGAACGAACGAGTGGTGTTTTTTTTTGCTAGGGACGGTCAGAAACTGGAGGCTCCATGGGATGGCGTGCAGCAAAAGAAAGCCAAGCGGCTATGGGGTGGAAGGGCGAACGCTAATCAGTCCCAGACAGCGCTGGTCTTCTAGCGGCAAAGACGTGCACACACAGTAGTGCTGAAAATCCGGGCGGTGATTGTCGTTGCATATCGTCTCCATAGAAGATGGAAGCTTTGGAAAAGGTTTGAAGACGTGGAGAACAGAAGAAACTGGATGAGAGATATTGAAGCTCTTTTTCGGTTTTCTCAAGCAAAGAAGAGAAATGTCAAGTCTCTTCCCGCACGCAACACAACAGGTACAACCCATTGGTACAGTATATCTGACTGTGATAGCGATGGCCTCATAACAGCGGCTCCGCAATCGATTACAGTACTGAACAAGGATTACCAGGCCTGACAACGAAAGCCATGCCAACGCAGAGAACCTTCGGGATGGCAAGTCGGGGTTAGCTTGTCTAAAACAAACGACCAATGAGGTCTTTGAAGCTGATTGACCTTGCAGACCAACTGGCAGCGCGATATCGATGGTCTGCAGTGACAGATGAGGTGGCAGCTTCTCATTCACGCTTTCCAGTATCCGGGGCGAGCGGGAAGAGAAGGATACGGCATAACCGGATGAGCAGAAAAAGACAACCTAGGAGAGGAGAAAGGGGTGAAAAGGGCGATGACTGCTGGGATGACAGCTTGGACATTGATGTCTCTGTCACAGATTGCGAGTCAGTACTCGGCACATTAGGGCGCGGAGGCGAAATGTTTGATTCCTTCCAGTTGCACGGTAGGACGATGGTACGCCCGATGCCGTGATGTAGATGCAGTACACCACTGCTGATTTTGTACGTCGTCGTTCCTGATTCTCTTGTGTTGCGTGGGAGATGGAGAGAGAGACGGAGACGCGAGTCTGGAGGATCAGGTGGGCTGATAGCTGCTGTTGTCTGAACAGCAAAAATACCTTAACGATAACTGCCATCCATGTACTTTTTCTTCTCCATTCGAATGCTGTGGCGTCGGCTTTCATCTATGACCCGGGTACTTGCCGAGAATTATATTTCCGGAGACGAGCGAAACCGGCAGTCGTGTTGGCTCTAGTAGCTAGAAGTGAGGATATGTTGAATGAATGTCTTACAGATCATGAGGATGTTGCACAAAGTGATGAAGCGAGGTATAGACTTCAGTTGTACCTCAGGTCGAGAGGTGAAGGAAATCGGTTCACGGCCTCCAGTGTTCATAAACTCGTGGTGGAGCTGAAGCCTTGGCCCGAAACAGCGCTGTCCAAGACGAGACAGGCGCTGGAGGACAAATTGTCGACCCCGCCATCGTCACTGCCCTGCCTGCACAATCTGCACTCCAGAGACAAACTGGGCTGCAGAAGGCCCCAAGTGGAGAAGATCCCCAGGGGCCCCCGTGTCAATTTCCCCCACGGTGCACCGTCCGCCATATGTACCTAGTTCATCTTATTACACTACTGGCTGTTGGTGATATCAGCTCCAAGCCTCCTCCACACTCTTTCAGAAGAAAGGCCACGGATATGGGCGCCCAGTTGGGGTTGGGCCGTCATTTCAGGAAGCCCACAAGCCCAGTTCAGCCCCAGATTGACTATACCCAAACATGACTTCATTTTAGGACACCATTGCCTTGGAAAACAAGACAGTTTGCAGTCGAATTATTGCCGCCTCTTGTCGGTCTCTTTTTACGTGAGCACTTCCCGTCACCACTTTGCGTCGCTCCACGAGACCAGCAAGACAGACCCCTTTGAGGAAATGGCGTTCCTGAAAAAGAAAAGTTCAAAAAGACGGCATGCGCCGAAGAGAACCCACCGTGCACAGACCACCCACTGTCGTACGGGACCGAGTGGGTCAAGTTGACGAAGAAGCTAGACCCATTGCAGACAATTCAGGTACGGTCTCACCTCACCGTTCGGCACTTGGGACTTGCCTTCGCTTGTCAAGGTCTTATCGTATACAAGGCAAGCCATGGCAAGGCGACTAAAGTCGTGTTGAGATAAGCCAAATCAAGAAGAGGGTATAAACAAATCAAGACAAGTCAGAGGGGTCAACGTTCCTAGGTTGTCAACTTGTATTCAATCTTCGTTTTGGTACGGTAAATGTACGGACAAAAGCCGATTTCCACTTATGCAAGTCAACAGGGCAAGACATGGCAAGTCTCTGGTGATCCCAAGGCAAGGCAAGTCAGACAGACCCCTGGCTTGGCTGGACTTGGCTTCCTGTGTGCTACGCGGGACTGAGGTGCATCTGTACACTATACTACACCAGCAAGCTCCATCTGGGTAGGTGTGTTAATTACCGTCACGACCAATTTCCTGCAGGCGTCACAAAAAGCCATCCATTTGCTTCACAAGGGAACCCCCTGAAGAGCTTTGCTCTGGGTGACTTTGGACCTTCGATAGACTCGTAACTCGCTCCCGTCTCGGCCTCTAGTCATTCGTCTCTGCCACTCGTCACTGGTGCATTCAACTTTTTTAGTCTTTTCCCA